ATAGGGATCATGATGGGGGAGGGTATGGGGAGGATCAAATCTACACCTGAAACCCACTCAACGTATGCAATACTGAAACAATAATCACCTAGAATTAAATTTCTCTCTCTAATTGAATCTACAATCCTAAAAGAAAAGTAAAAACAAATACTAGGAAAATAAAATAAGAAAAAGAAAATTGCCACAGACTTATCAATAAGTTGATCCCCGCTCATTGGCTCAACAAGACTTCTAAAGACTTTTACTTCCCAAAGAATTTGAATAAGCTAATTTTAGCAAAATGTTAGAAGAAAAAAAAGTCAAAGTTCTCAAGAATTCTCTCAAAATTTGTTCTCAAAGGTGTGCTTTACATCCTAGGGGCAAATGTCTATTTATAGCATTTCTTTGGCAATATAGATAAGTACAAAAATCTTGAGATAATTAATAAATAATACCCTAAATAAAATTCTATCTTAATCTAAGATAATTAAAAAATAAAATAATTATTCTATTCCAAATATATTAATTAAATAATTCTAAGAGATGGACTTACATTAAAATAATAATTAATTTAAATTCATATTTATCTCATGTGAAATTCATTAAAAAAGCATGTAGGAATTAATTTTAACACATTGAGTATTTAAAAAGTGGGTCCCAAGCCTTTTTAAAAGGTTTTAAAGTAAAATAAATAATTTAAAAAGGGAAAAAAGAGGGGCCAGCCGGTTTGCCCTACTCGGATGGGTCAGACCAGTCGGTCCGTGCGGGTTGTAAGGCTTTGGCCCTTGGGTCATCCGCGGGCTTGTTCGCATGGGTGGCTAAGTGGCAATCCTGGGCCACGAGTTGCACGCGCGCGAGTGATCCCAAGTGTGGGACCGCATGTATGCTGCTCGGGTCTTGTGTGCATGTAGCACATAGAACATGCAGGTTGTTCTAGCCGCACACTCGTTTACTACTTCACGCATGCGAGCTATCGACCTGTACATTTGGATCGCCATGCTTGTCACTCACGTGCCCAAAGTAGTTTACGCATGCTGCATGTGTCTTCCATCTTCTCACCGGGCTTTGGACCTCCCTTTGTACTTCGTCATCGATCGTGTTGCTTACCTAGTCCTGGATGAGCAAGTTGAAAACTCCTTGAAGCTTGCAGGCCTGACTTCGGGTAATTGGGCCTACGAACAACTGTGCTTATTTCCCCAGTAGGCCTAATTCGTCGAGGACTTTAGAATCTTGCACGTTCTCTTCTTTTATCGGGATGTTCTTCGTGATGATTTTCACATCAGTTCACCACACCGTTAAATTTCAGTCATACCAATTTTAAACGGGTTATCTATAAATTTCAGTCATACCAAGTTCGGTGAAATGGTTCTATCTACATTATGAAACTCATTGGCAGGGAGCGGCTAATTTCTGTTATTATCTACAGCAGTGGTCAACTCTAGATGGTTCGAGATCACTTAGTAAAATCGGTCTTGATCGGAGCATCCTGAGCCTCGAGATGTTCTATAGATAGTCTCTCTTGAGTCATTAATCCTTTAAAAAGGAGACAATAAATTTGATGACTGCAACGAAAAGTTCATTTCTAATCCTAAGAATTTTTTAAAAAGTAAATAACTTGAGCAATATTTTCATATAAACCTCTAACCTTGGAGGGTCATCGTAGGATTATACATTCATATATTTAGAAAATGTTTGTATATCCTTAGGAAAATCCAGTGAAAAAGTTGTATAACCAAGCAAAGAGTACATTTAATCAACATCATAAGTAGGAATATTGTGTCACATCAAGCATATCCAAACATGTCAAATATTCAAATATTAAATAAGTGACCTACCCAATAATTTTAGAATAAGTAGAAGAATCATCATGCAAAATCATCATAGAGTTTCAAATAGGATTCATAATCATATATGTGTTTCATTAAGGATTTTACGAATCTCCAAGCAAAACCGTTGCAATGTATATCCATTATGAGCAAATGGGATATCCGTCTACCTCTGTGAATCACTGACCCCTTATCGGGCCAATTCCATTTCCATATCTAAACTATGACCACAGTCGTACATCTCACCTGTGGCCCTTCATATCCTAACGCAAATCCACTCTCGTCACAGGGAACGCCAATCATTGTAGGTTTCACTAACATTTATTTAGAGGAGGCAGAAACAGAAACTCCTCAGAGGTAATAGTTTTTCCATTCTTTTCACTTGTTTATCCCATGTTCATAATAAATTTCTTATTATTTTCTTCGCATGTTTCATGTCTAACATAACATTTAAAGAGTTCCTTGAATGGTTAAGAAAAGAAGAAGAAGGATGAAGGGAAGGCGCGGATTCTGCAGAGGCAACTGTCAATGGTTTCGGGAAGAAGAGGATGATCATTCTGCTTGGCAGCCATGATTTATATAGCAAAAAGGGGCTAAGGTCTCCTCTTTTATTGATTAGGATCTTTTTCCTTAATTTTGATTCATCCCTAACTTTCCAAAATAATTTTTCCATGATTTTCTACTCTTGGATCTCAGTTGGGAGGATATCTTTTCAAGATTCAAAAAGCCCACCTTTTTCTTTAAGTTGGCAACTATGCTTGACACTTAGCCTTGCCCAAGGCTTGTTGCTAATTGATGGCTTATTTCATGAACTCTTCTCATTTTCATGTTGTTTTTCCTCATCTCATCCTTATCTCCTGCCCTACAACAAAATATAAAAAATAGTTGAGATTAAATAGCATTCTATCAAGCTTGGTAACTCAAAAGTGGGTTCCACATCACATGATTATTTCGTCTTTTTGAGACCAAGTTATATACAGAGGATTAATCGTCAATAATCCATTGGCTATATAGATTGTTTCAATGGATGTTGTAGAGATTTATCAACAAAACCAAATAGACATTAGTAGTTCCAAATAAGAAGAAACTGAGTCTTCCAAAATAAATAATTTGAGATAGTTAATTTAATAAAATGAATGGTGAGAAATAAAGGAAAAGAGTGTAGAAATGAAGGAATGAGTTGGTGGATATTTTGATATGAGAGAGAACGTAGTTGGTTTTGGAGTTTGTCATTTGGCTTCGAGGCCATGTTATTAAGAGGATTAAAATAAGAATCTTATAGTACAAATATACATCTGTTTACAGGCATAAGTATATAAGAGCACATGAAGAAAATAAAAGAGAGGATTAAACACAATAAATTTATAAAGTATACAATAAATATGCAATCTTTGAGTTAAAGCTAATAAATTAACAATAAAATATACTAAGTCAAAGAAAATAAAGGATTTTGTCCAACTTAATTGCTCAATAATGAGAAACAGAATGAACATATCGAAAATTTTAAAATATGAAATTGGGTCTCTAGCATCAGTATTAAGTAAGTTAAAATAATTGATTAATTGAAGTTTATAAAAATAAATAATCGTATTGTTTACATAATGAGCTAATATACTTCACAAAAGTAAGTGGTTGATCTTAAATTTTTAGTTAAAAAATTTTAAAAATTAAAAATTTATAAGTAATATTTGTGAAGTCTGAAACTTCACTTGTTTTCCAGAAAACCCTAATAATTTTTGTTAATCTTACGTAGAAAAGGAAAAGGTAAAGAAATAAATATTTACTGGGTAGGATGGCAGAGAAAACAAAAAGCAACTGAAATGGAGATGAATTATTTAAGGCAGGAGGACCCAAGAGAATTTAAGACCGTTGGATTAGAATGATCAGATGGATGGGATTAAGATTCACAAGACACAAGTAGACAGGAAAATCCAGGCTATTTGGTTGTGGTTATGGAGTTGTGTGGACAGTCCTTTTCTGTCTCTACCAAGCACAGACACTGGATTTGCTTTCAATAAAAATCTTTTATTGTTTTTCTTACATACACATATATATACATATATATATTTATATTTATATACAGATGCTACCAAACAGACCATATAATAGAATACACTACACTACATTGCTTGGTTCGGTACCAAGAGAGAGACGATGAGAGCTATAACTACTACTAAACTGTCTTCGTGCATATATATATATATGTATATATATGTCTGCCATAATTTATTATCACGTATGCATGGAGTGGGACATGACATTTCCCAAATGGGTCCCACCCTTGATGACCAGATGTGATGAGAGAAATCAGATCAGAGGGTTGTGAGCAGATCTTGAGTTGTGTCTCATTGTTAAGGACACAAAAGAAAATGTTAAGAGGGACAGGACCCCTTGATTGACTCATTTTTAACCAAACCTCATTTCCATAGCTGCCCTATATACATATATATATATATAGTTATATCTCTATCTCTTTGTTTATCTGTGAATCTTACAAAATACAGCCAGCTAATTGATTATTGTCTCCAGCTCGATAGAGGGTACTTAGTGTGTGTGTATATATATATGTACATATATATGGCATTGGCATTGTGTAGGGTAAAAATTTAAATCAATAAGGCCGTGTTTGGAGTAGAGAAATAAGTTGTGAAGGAGTTTGCAAGCTGGAAAGAGCCGGGTTTACCGGATCCTGTCCTTTGAACAAACACCCAAACAAAAACATTTGTGAGATAGGTGGGATCCTATGCTGCTACCTTCCTTTTACACCAAGCTTCTTCACTTTCATACATATATATATGTATATTAATTTAATACCCAGAATAAAAAATCTTAATTGGTTTTCTTTTCAAGATTTAAAGATATTATTCCTCTCTTTCTCAATATATATATATATATATATATTTGGAAGATGTTGTGTTATGTTGAATGGTGTAGTATGGTTTTAAAGAGAGAATATAGATGTATATATAAAAGAGGAAGTGAGAAGAAAAGGTAAATCAAACTCAATATCAATTGAAAAAAGAAGCTTCTTTAATTCATCCATTAATACATCTAAAAATGTCCCCATCTATCTCTTTCACTCCCTAATGTTTTCTTCTTCTTCTTGTCCTTCTTTTTTCTTTTCTAGCTTTTACCAAATCTTCTTCTCAAACACTCATTAATCTCACTTTTTCACAAAGAGAAATTAGAAAGATATTTTAGATGGAAAATGGAGAGAAAGATTGTGATGATCAGGCTAAGTGTTGAATTGGGAAAAAAGAAAAAAAGAAAAGAAGTGCTAAAAATTTTAAAATTTAACAACAGAGTTATAATGCTGAAGAAGCCTATTAGCTTCTCTAAGACCACTAAAGTAAGCTCCATGAGTTGTAGAATAGTGGGTTCTGTGTGTAGCCTCCCCTGCAAATAGAATTTGAAGTGGGTAAGTAACCCTAGAATTCTCTGTAATTCTTGGCAATGGTTCAGCCATTAAATCAAGGTCATCCCCACTTGAGCCAACTGCAACATAGCTGTATGATCCCAAGAACAAAGGATCACTACCCCATTTGCTCTTCAACACTTTTGTAAATTTCATTTCACCTGATAAACCATTTCTCATCCGATTACTACTACTACTGCTACTACTGCTACTATTTCCATTACATAATCCATTATCATAACCACCAGATCTCACTTCCTCACATGACAAAAATCTTGACAACATTGTCGATACGCCATTTTTTATCTCTTCGTCACTCAATGATTCTATTTTAAGTGCTTCTTTACCTGCAAACCAAGAGAGCAACACGTTTGAGTTGCTGTATATCGGAGATATAAAAGCTGTTCTCCTAATCCACCAAGGGATTTGTTTATGCCTTAATATGGAATCTTGAGGTTGAAAAACCATTTGCAGGAACGGGAACTTGTTGATGGTACTTTGATCTACTAGTTTCCTGTCTTGGGTTGGGCTCATTTGCAGAAACAATTTGTTAACAACGCCATACCCAAGTCTTGAAATTGCTTCAGTCTTGAAACAAGGAAGAGGAGGGTTGAACATACCTGCAGATTCTTGACTAATTCCAGCTTTAAGTACACCTAAAGAAACTGTCACAATAACATGATCGGCTAACATGATTGACCCATCGTAGAAATGCAGTTTAACTGGTTTAAAGTCATAACCATTTTCCATTAATCCTTTTGCTTCTTCGCTCTCTGGTTGCCACACAATCCTGGAAACTTTTCTGTCCAGTTGGATTAAACCAGGTGGTAAAACAGAAGCTAGAGATTCAATTATGCTCAAGTAACCTTTAGCAATGGTGATTTCTTCACCGGGAAACATACGGTACTCACTTTCTGCCTCAAAATCCAGAGTGTTGAGATCGCCGGCAGAAGTATAAGTTCTCTGGGTGTTTTCATGCATGCTAAAAATGGCTTCTTGAAGCAACTTTCTGCTCCAATTTCCATACCCTTGGAGCTCTTCTTGGCCTTCTACAGAACCCCAATAAGCATCAAGACCTCGCCTAAGAAAACAACCAATACTAAACTCATTACCGTTACAGAGCTTTGAAGCTTTGGCTGCAACTCTGTGGAAATCAACATCATCTTCTTCACTCCTTTGAACCAGCTTTCCTTGAGCAAAATCCATGAGTTTCTTGAAAAGATTGGAAACAGGGTCAACGAAAGATGGATTTAACTCGAATCCACCTTCGGCAAAAGTCCTAACAGGAACCTCTGAGAATCCATCCATGCACTCCCATGGTTGGTCAGAGTCCAGGGCATGGATTTGTTGAGCAATCTTGTGAATTGGACTACCACCAATGCCATGGATCCATGTCGCACCCATCTCAATCCTGTCTCCACAAAATTCAGATGTGTTGATTCTGCCGCCAATTCTCGAGCCACCTTCAACAACACACAGCTCAAACAAGTCTCTTGAGGTACAAGAAGTGTAGAGCTTGTTAGCTGCAGTCAGACCAGCCATTCCTGCTCCAATTATCACAATTCTTGGCTTCTTCGCCATTGTTGTATATTTCCTGCTAGCTACTTTGCTTGCTTGCTTACTAGCTTCAATCAGAAACACAGAAAAGTTAGAAAGCAACAAGTAAATTAGAGAGAGAAAGAAGAAATTGGAAGAGAGAGAAGAAGAAACTGTGATATTATGAGATTGAGTTTACTGAGGAGAGTAATTTATAAGAGGGCGTGTCGTGAGTTTAGGTTTTTTCTTTTAAGCTATACATTTATTTATTTATCTAATAAAAGACGGGCCCTATACTTTTCTTCATTATTTACTCTCTTCCCCCTTGAATCATCTTCTTCTTCTTATAACCCTAAATATGAAATTCTCTCTCTCAATCATCCCATTAACCTATACATAGATATTCAATTTATAAAATAAATTATACATGTAAAATATATATCAGAAAGGGCGCAAAGGAGAAAAATAAAGAATATATATGTATATATGTAAAGAGTAGGAAGAGGGCAGCTGCAGGGACAATAAAAGGTTGACAGTGCCTTTCACCAACCTCACATGTAAATTGCATTAAGGACGGCCCACCCACTGAGCAAGTTATTGGTCCTGATCAGTCGATTGCCCATCGTTGAATGGATCATAATGAGGTAATCATCAATCATAAAAATTTCTGACTTCTCACTTTGGTAAATTTCTATTAATTTTCATCCATTAATTATAAAAATCTATACTAGTTTATCTAACTGTTACATAAACTAATATATCTAAAAGTCTTGGTTCGCAAATGAGTTTATGTTAATGTTGGCTAGCTTAAATTACGATTCTTAATTGCTGGGGAACTCATCAAGATTACATGTTAAATTGAAGAAACACATATATATACTTTGAGGGCATTCATGGGTTCCATGTGTTTTCAATTGAAGGGATATGTTTCTTTGTACAAGTTGACGTTCATTAGTTTTGGAAGCATTTGACAGCAACAGCTATAATTATTAACAACTATTCAAGGGTAGATTTGCAGCCAAATGTAAATATTTCTTTTCAGTACAAACTTTATTATTATTTTTTTCTTTAAATTCAGAGAGCCTCTTTTGGTTTGTTAACTCAATTTCATAAACTTAATCTCAGCCATACAATTGTCCTGGAGTTGTTCAAGGTTCAATGTTAATATTGTGCATAAAGTAACTCAGGACCCTGCTAACATTAAGAATATATTAAGCGACTGTGATCAATCGGTAAAACATTTATTTTAAAATAAAAGAATTAGAGTTCTCCTTTGAATTTTCTAGAAGTAGGATGAATCTTGAAGCAATTCGTTTTCTCTTTTCAATCACAGACGTATTACAAAGTTTTGTATCGATTTTATTGTTTTCCCATAATGGTTTAATTTCCTCTTTTGGATATTTTCTTGTGGGAATTTTAGCACTTGCCCATTTTTCTTGGTAAAGAGAATGTTTGAGAAGTCTGTTGATGAGATAGATTGTGTGAGAAGATGTTAAAAGTCTGATTATAAAAGTTGGTAGCATCAAAAAGTTGTTTTTACTAAGTAAGCTTATTTTTTTCTTTTTAGTTGTTAAGGTGTGTTTAGGTAGAGGAGGTTTTGGCTGGTTATTGGTGTGGTTTGGAGACATCTCTTTTATTTTTTGGTTTAGTGGGTAATAATTTATATGATTAAGGTTATGCACAGTTTCCCTTAACTTCTAATAGAACTGAAGTGTACAATTGGATCATATATATATATATATATATATATATGTATTAATTTTAAACCTAACGATATTTGCAGGTAATCAATTATTTAAAAAATAGAAGTAATTATAAATTAAAAATTAATAATATTCAACGAAAAAAGTTTTAATTTCATCACATTCTGTATATAAACTATAAATCACATATTTTATAATATTCATAAATTGTAAATTAAAAATTTCCTCCAATAGTGTTTACTTTTCTAAGTAAATTAAAGTAAACAAATAAATATCATTACGTAATAAAAAAATAAACATAATATATAAATATGTTATATTTATTATATAAAATATGTCTAATATAACCAATTAATGTTTAATTTTGATTAGTTGAAATTATTTAAAATTAAAAACTGAAACTTAACTAAAACTTAACTAAAAATATTTGTCTAAGGCGACTTGGTTTTGAATTTTAGAACAGTGTTAATTTTTCATACACACTCATATTTTTTACTTCTAAAAAACTTAAAAGTAAATAACACTACATTATTATGAGAAAACTTATAAATATGCAAAGTGTTAAACAATAATCAAATCAAGCCATAAAAACATAATCTCTAATATCTAAATAATCAACAAATAATCCAAACCGGCTCAAATGTATTACACCTCCAACATCTAAGAAATTCAGCTTTTGAACTAAAAATGGATCTTCACATCTAAAACCATAACAAAGTTATTAAGTTCTAGATCTAAATTTGTTTTTTAAAATATTAATCACACATATATCTCAACTTTTTTGTACATAATTATTTTATTTTTCTTCTCTTTCCTCTTTGATACTTATTGATCTATTCTTTTATCTCTCTTCTCTAACAATCATTCTCACAAGTTCTTTTCTTGTATTTTGCTGGTTAATTCCTCTATAGATTATTGAGTTCTTGTCATTGGCTGCTAACCCTTTGGTAGTTTAAACTGGAATAGATATTTAGTCTTTTCAATAGAGTTTTGTTGGCATTCAACAACTTTAAAACTTCGTGACAAAAAAGAGAAGATCTTCATATATATATATATATATATATGCATCAATTGCTTGCTTGAGAAAAATATTATTTTTTCTTTTTCCTATTTTCCTCTATTTTTCTTGTTTTTATTGTTTTACTCCTTTATTTCCCAAAATTCTTTTGATGTCATCTCTGGTTTAATAAAAATTAAAATATTCAAATAGAGTGTTCCATGAGATTTTAAGTTGAATAAGAGAAAATTTTTATCTCTTATGAATTTCTTTCATTCTTATATTACTTGAGTGTTTATCCTATTTATAAAACCCTCACCTTTTTGTATGATTGATTGAGAATTTTCTTATTTTATTATATCTTTTCCTATTCTATGATGACAATTAGCATAAACTTTGTTGTGCTATACAAATATATGTGATAAATTATTTTAGATAAAGAACTCAACACCATCTATGAAAGTTTTCAATGAAAAGGGTTTGAACATCTATAGGTTTTAATAAAGAGAATAATTCAAACATAGGTTAATGGTTTAATCAAATTGGAAGATGGTGTAGGCTGAGGAGCTAAAGGTTACAGAAGTGAAAGAAAAGAAAGAGAGAGAGGAACATAATAAAATAAGCAAACATCACCACTAGAGTGTGGTAACTTTTAATCTCAAGGATGTTTGTATTTCCTTTATTATGTCTTAGCTATTTTTGTTTTTCAATCAATGTTTCCTTAATAGACTTTTTTTTTTGAGTATATTTTATTGAGTTTTTAAACAATTTATTAGTGTCTTGTATTAATACCAAATTCTTATTGAATTTGTTAAAGCTTGAGATAGAATGTAGAGAATAGAAGAGGGAATCGTTATTTTGAATGGTTATCAAAATTTTGAGCAAATTAGTAGTTACACTTTTTCTCTCAATTCTATTACCTTCTATAATTTTTTCTCGCTTTATCTTCTTCTTTTCAACTCTAGACTCTAGAGTTATTTTCAAACTTAATATAACAAAGTTCACCTTATCAACTTGGTATCCAAGTGTGATGATGTAACAGCCCCGGTAATTCATAATGAAATGTATATTAAAAATATCAAATGCGGAAGCGAAGTCAAAATTTGAATAACATCCCTTACACTAAAACCAAAAAACGTGCTCACAAAATATAAAAGATTAAACTACCTAAAGGAGAAACTTGAAAGTAAAAAACTACGAATGTGACTAGGGAGTCTTTAGGCGTCCCCTTCGTCGTCCTCCTGCGAAACCGGCTCGGGAACGATGTCCTCTTGATCTGAAATGATTAAATAAGGAATGAGCTACACTAGCCCAGTAAAGACATCACGATATCTCACCGTCACGGAGGTAAAGGTGGGTAGAAAACACAAAAAGACCAATGGAGCGTAATTTACAACAAATCATTTTATTAATAATAAAATCTTTACCATTCACTTATCTCGGTGAAATTCATAAAATAATATACGAAAGCAATAACATCATCATCATCATGAAAATATATATATGAATTGTATAACATAATACCTATCAAACTTTTCATAATTCAATCGTTACACAACATATTTTCCTCATTTACCAGCCCACTAGTATCCATGGGGATCCATAGGGGTCCCGCTACCCGTTAACCCTTAACACCTGAAATCATATTCCAGGGCCGTCCCCATACCCCGTCCGGTATGGGCGCCAAAACATAGACCTCATTACCCCGTCCGGTATGAGGGTGAAACGGGCCGTCCCCATACCCCATCCGGTATGGGCGCCAAAACACATAAGATCTCCATACCCCGTCTGATATGGGAGACCACAATCCCGGTAGGGTTCCCTACGGACCCGGTCCGTCCACCATCTCCCAGGATATCTAGTTAGGCTGACCACATTATACCATTACCCATTTACATAATTTTTCATTCTCTTTTTCTTCAGTCAGCATCATTAATCCACATACAAAAAAGCAAAACAGTAATTTACGCCAAACAGACAACATACAGTATCAATATCCTAGTCATTCAACCCATAATCAATAAAACAGTACAATATGCACACGAAACTATAAAATGAAAACATCAAACCTCATACTGCATTTAAAATTGTAAAATAGGCCAAATAACAGTTAACCGACAAACACACTAGACTCGGGCTCCATTAGCGATCTTAAGCAATTTTATACATTCGTTGATTCATGAAATACCGTTTTATCATTATTGAACTTTAATACCATGATAGGAAATAGGGTGAGGGGTCCTTACTCGTTTCGAGGTCCGAACACGGCTTCACAGTGCGCTTGCAGGCTGTCCCTAATTTTTCCTGAATTTTTCCCAGGGAACTGAAACGCACTACAGGTACCTGCACGTGTTCCAAAAAAATCCCAAATTAGGCCTAGGACCCCTTTTCGGCCAATATCGCAACTTCGGCACGGCGGCTCCGCCGTGCTCCGGCGACGGCGCCGCCGCTTGCGGCTGCGGTTCGCCTCGGGTTGGCCGTTTTCGGCCGTTTCCGGCCGAATTCGGCCACACTCGCATTGGTTCCTGCGAGAAAACAACCCTACAGCCCTCAGGGGGCTGAAAATTTATGGAAAACCGAAGCTTACCGGCGGCGATGCTCTCGGGTGCGGCGGCTCTCCGGTTAAGTTCGTGTTTTGGTGATTCGGCTCCGATCAACCTGTAGAGAAAATAATGGTGATCACGGTGGTATAAAAATTGCATTAAACGGAGGCCGGGAAGGGCCTCATCGGAGGCAAAAACCGAGAAGGGGCGCGGCGGCGCCGCTGGCTTTCGGCCCTGTTTTTTGGCCGTTTGGCTGGGA